TTAAACTTGATACGTTGACAAAAAAATCTTTGTACTAAAAATTGCATTTGTCCGTAATTATTTGATTTTAAACTTTCCAAAGCTTTAAATCCTACTTTTCTACCAAGCAATGATAAAAATTCTTTATCAACGAATGCGCTGCCACAAAGATCGACGACACGTTCAGTAATTTAACTCAACTTGTTGTCTGGAAGAAGTTTTCGTGATGTTAAATCTACTGTACCACCACCACAATCAGCTACCAAGAAGGAATCTATTTCAGAAAAAAAAAGGTAATAAGCGTAATGTAAACTTGATAATCAATCCAATAGGAAGAACATAACACATACCCCCTGGTTTAAGTTATTTTCCTTTACGACTTTAAGACAGTGAAGTGCTGCAGCCTCGGCTGATAAAATGGATAAAATGTTACGATTAAAAAGAACGATAGAAGAAACAACAACTCAAATCTATATATAACAGACATACGTTCCGTAGTAAATTCGATGTTGTTTGAAGCAAGGGAGGTCAATAATCCTGCGTTATATGCACATTCTCTCATGATTATGGTTGTATTTGGAGGCTATATCAACATTTAAAACGAGAACAAATATATGTTTTGCCAAAAATGAAGAAAAAAATTTTTTAATTCTAATTTGTTCATTTACGTACCACTCAGCAGGAATTGTAAATACGAGATCAACTTGTTGAGGAAACTTGATAGTAGGCCATCGTGTCTCAAGAGTTTCTTTGATTAATTTCCTCATTTGAGTTAAATAATCCACAATGGCTTGTTTGTAAGTCAATTGGCCGGGTAACCAAGGTTTTTCATTCCTTTGTAAGTCCGATAAATGCAATTTAAATAATTCTACCGTTCTTCCGGATCATCCAATTCTTCATCAGGTTCTTCTTCCAATGCTGAATATCCCCAGCATATAACGTTCCTATATTCCTTATCATGTAGAAGTGCTGTAGATGTTTTAGGATTACCTTGTCGTCCTGGCCTAAAAATTGGAACAAAAATAAAATCATTTTTATTTTTATTTTATTTTTTTATTTTTAAAATAAGATGGACATTGATTACGATAATGATATAAATTACCAAGTTTCGTTTACAACAACACTTTCAGGGGTTTTTTTTGTGAACGTACGCGTCCAAAGTCTATTGCAACAAGAATTCTAATATCCCGTAAAGCCATACTTTCTCCACATATGAAAGAAAAATTATATAAAACAAATTTGTTTGCAATTTGGAATTTATTTCGAAGAGAAATTTCTAAAATGGTTGAAACTTACCTTCTAAAGGCTTACTATAATATGACAGAGTCATCATTACTTAAATGAGGCAATATGTGTATGGAACCCCTCATTTCTTAATAAAATTTATAATAAAAGATAAGCATGAAAACAAAATGAACTCATTTCTTAAATAAGAAACGCCGCGCATATCTGCATGACAAATGCTTTTATCACATGTATTTGCATGTTGCATGAACGACATTTTGAAAATTTTTTTTTAAAAAAAAAAGAAATAAAAAAAGGTACATCCACAACCACTAGTATCGTATTCAAACAACGTGTAACGCGATATAATAACATGGCATTTTATAAATTAGAATTAGTCAGTAATGAAGAGTGGAAGTTAATCAAATGGTTGGCTTCTTTGAAAAAAGTTGAAAACTTTATTTATTTATTTATCATAATTTGGAATTCTATTTATTTACGAAATAATCCACTACTTTTACAAGAATTCATCGATGAAACCAAAAATATGGTTGAGTTCGTAAAAGAATTGGCTGACTTCAAAGCGTTAGATATTGCGCAAAGTAATGTATATATTAGCAATTTAATGGAATATAAAAACTCTCGCTGCGACTACAATCGTGCATTGAGAAAAAGGTTAACCGATAATGCTTGGGCAGAATTAGTTGATCATGGATTAAAATATTCACATGCTTTTGAGAAACAACTACTACATTTAACGTCTGATCAAAAAATGTTTTTACGACAAACGATCTATCATAGAATGAATTCTTTTCGAGTAACTGCGAAAAAAATACAAAATGCATGGAAAAAAGAAGTAGGAAACTTACAAGAACAGATAAAGTCCTTGAATGAAGAAAATTCACAACAACAAGCGGCTCTTGGAAATGTAATAAATGTATCTTGGGATGATGATGATTCCAACAGTACATCAAGATTAATTTCTGACATTGAAGAATTACAGGATATGCTCACAGATTTTACAATGGTTCAAGGAAGTGATTTTAAAGTTAATAAAGATTCAGCAACAAATATTTTAAAGGTTTATAACTGTCAAACGAAATATCCAAGTACGGATGGGGATCTCGTATTAGGAGCGATACTTCAACGTTGCACGATCACAACAATTTTGAATGAGGTATATTATCATATACAAAGGGCACATTCTGACGACATTGATCTTCTAGAAAGTGATATTGTAAACGCAACCGATAGTTTAATTAGATACACTGAATTATTTAGAGAGCATCGTAAAGGAAGTGATAATATAACTAAAGTTACACCCATCAAAGTTCGTCAACATGTTTATTCAGCACTTGGCTGTCGCGGTTTTTCCGATGATGAAGATCCTTTAATTAAGAGAACGGCAAATAAATTGTTGGATGAAATGAAACAATTTAGGCAAATAACGGATAAAGAAACTAGCGATGAATTTAACGATCTAGCTTTTAAAATTAGTCGTGAAGTTATTAATATCTTTTGCTTTCGTTTAAAAACACAAGTCGTTGAACTGCAACATAAATTTTACCAAGATGGTCAAGCCATAGAAGTTCGTTTTATGCAAGGAAGTTTTGGCCTTGATGAAGTTAAAAAATTGGAAGTGGAAATTTGTGGATTTCCTTGCATCGGTGTGTTCGATGGTGATCAGAAAGTTTGTACGAAGGCTCAAGTCATTGCAAGATAAAAAAGAAACTATAATGGTGATTCTATCGTCAATTCCCATGAAAAACTTGTTTATTGGAAATAAATAAATTCTAGTAATTTGTTTTTAATTTATTTTTGTTTTTCCTGCGAATTATATATTTTTTAAACAATTTTATTTATTTACTATTAATTATTTCATTAAATATCATGATAAATAAATTATCTTCAATTGGAAAATGCTAGAAATATCATCCTTATCACATTAAATTTCGCCTTTCGACACGCAATTATATGATAAAATTTTTTTTTTTTTTGTAGCCTTTGTATCTCGTGATTATAAACCTCCCAAAATAAGCAACAATTTGATTTTTTTTGGCGAAGACACAAACCGGGTTAAAACTGATTTAGTAGAAGATACAAATCTTTAAGTGCGCAAAAATAATAGTAACTTTTTAAATCAGAAATTAGTTACCGGCAAGTTTGAACTGGAATATTAAACTAACAAGCGAGCAAGAATTGCATCTTTTTCTGGAGTTAAAAAAAGTATATAGTTGGATTATTGAACAAATGGTGTGATGGAATTTTAAGAGGATTTTTAGATATATAGGTGATGCGGTTATGTTGTGTACAAGTTGATTTGTGTTCAATTTAAATAAATAAAATTAACCTTACTGATTTATTATGGACAAACAAAATGGTATTTCTATCAGCGATTTAAGTGTATAATATTTTCAATATTTTCAAAGGTCACTAAAAGAATCTGTTAAATGACAATTTCAAGGTTGTGTGTTTGCTTTAATATGTCAAAAAACATTTTTTAACCTTTTAAAATGATTCGCATTTCTGAAGCCTGCTTGTGATGTCTGATGATTCATTTTAGTTATTTATAAAGCGACAATCAATGTGTGGTTTTTTTATTTTCGATTTTTTCGAAACACGCCCTATTTTCCCTTAATTTACTCTTTTGCTTAAATCGCTCCCAAAATTTAATTTCTTTCTTTTTTGTTTTGCTTTTTCTTATTTAATATATATGAATTGGTTGGTTTCGCCTACAATACCTTCGTTAATGCAGCGATCAATATAGTATATATATATTTTTTTTTATAAAATATGTCTTGTGATACCTTTAGTCCTTTTCGGGTTAATACTTTTCCATAATGATATATTATAGGTAAGAATGTTATTACTAAGACTTAAATAACGGAGATATTTTTTTTCTCTTTTTGTTTGATCGCTTCGGGGGGCTGAAACGACCTAATGCTTTGACAACCGTTGCGCATTTTTTTAAGAAATTGCATTAATTAATATCACTACTAGAAAAAATCGATATTACTGCATCATAGTACAGTAAATATGAATATCGTGCTCACCCATATGATGTATACTATCTTGTTTTTTAATATTTTTAGTGATATCACGGAGTTTATAAGAAAATTATCTACACTAATAAATAAATTATTAATAATACTTGTTTAATATTTATATTTAGTTTGTAATTTTTACTAAGAGGGATAATTAATAAATATCCCCCAAAAAAACATTTTCTAACGAGTATCAAGATAAGTTATACTCTTTCACTTTTCGCGATATCAATTCGACTATGCGGATACAGAATTAATTAAATTTTTATCAGCTGTAATTTTTGAAATTAGTTTATTTAATTCTTGCGGTTAATTTTGATTACCATTTAGTAGTTGACAAAAGGAATCTTTTTCATTGTTGCAGTATTTAATGGTTGTATTTTCATTTATATTTTTCAAAAAAAAAATTAAAGATAATAAATAAAAAAAAATATCGAAGATGCATTAACATTAAAAAGTTGCTTTATCTTGTTAACTTGAAATAAAGTTAGTTAGCTCACTTCACTTTCAGAGAAATCCTTGGTTTCACTCATAAAGAGAGATGACTTACTGATGCAAGAAATTGAAGTTTGTAAACATGTGCTAGATTTGGGTATCGCGCAAAATTTGACACTTGTTTCAGATCCTGCAACTTGGTCTGACAATGATTTTAAAATAATGGAAAATACTCTAAAAAATTGTTTTCCATCAATTAGATTTTATAGTTTATCTTCTAAGGAATTCTTGAGAAATGTTCATCCATATAAAAAATTATTAAAACCTCAACTTTATGAATATTTATTGGAATTTTACCTGGATTTTGAAAAAGTGCCTAATGATAATATGTTAGTTCCTAGAAATATTAAGGTTGATTCAAGAATTGTTAACTTAAATATGATTTCTTTAATTTCAAAATGAATTGATGAAGTAGAATATAATAATAAATTTTCTCAAAAAGTGAATTATATTTACCGTATCAATTCAAATTATTGTTACAAGGAAATCAAGATGGGTTTACTCCTAAATTATTTCATTCATTATGTGATGATAAATCCAAGACCATTACATTTATTAAGGTAAAAGGAACGGATGAAAATTCTTGGTGGGTATAATCCTATTATATGGAAATCGTCACCAGATTGGAGGCTTGTAAGGAAAGCTTCATATTTTCTTTTAAATTTAAGAATAATTTTTTTATCATGTAATTTTTAGTAATGTAGCAAGCATTAATAATGCCTAAAATTATGAAAAAATTTGTGGTCTATCATTTGGTTATGATCTTATGTTGAGTGCATCAAATGAATTTAAAAATTATGACAAGAATTATTGTAGAAAAACTGTTTATGAAAAAATAATAAGAGATACAAATAGTCAATTTTTAATAAAAGATTATGAAGTATTTCAAATTTTTATAAAGTAATCTTATTATATAAGAGGTTTGCTTTATAGTAAATAGTAACGTGATTTTAACATAATTTTTATAATTATAAGAAATTAAAAAAAAATATGGTATTATCTGTATTAAATTGTTGAAATTATGAAAAATTAAGTCTCACTATAGGCACTGATGCGTGAATTAAAGTTATTATTTGAAGGGTATATTTGAAATATCTGCTTATGAAATTGGTCAAACATTTACTTTTACAACTATAAAATGTCCAATTTGGAATTACATTTAATGGATAAAAACAAATTGGATATTTAATGAACAAATATTTTTATAAGCATGCATTAGAAACTTTAGGTAGACTAAATTATTTTAAAAGCAAAAGTGTTTATTTAATTGATTATTCAGCGCTTCTTTAATTTTTAGTCGTTTTGGAAATATGATAAAAATACTATAAAAATAAATACATATGTTAAGAAAAGTCGTAATATTTGAAATTCATTATCACTATATACAGTTTATGCCATATAGATGTTGGTGTCAGGTGATTCTACTTTATATAGTGAAAGTTATGGTTATTCTCAAAAAAGAAGAAATAGGTATAAATTTGGTTAGCTTTATGCAGGAACTATAGGTCCCATTTTTATTTATATTGATATCAATATCAATATCAATATCAATATTGATAGAAACAATAGTTATTTATATATGATTTTTTTTAAAAAAGAATTGAAATTACAATTACTAATTAAATAAATAAAAGAATTTATCAAAAATATATACTGCAATAACAAAAATCCTGTTTTATCTGATAATTTTAGCCAAAGGGATGATCTAATCTCGATCTAACCTAAAACTACCTTAATTAAATAAATAAAAAAATAAATAAAATTAGTAATCAAATTAATTACCAAAATAAGAAAAGAAAAAAATCAATAAATCAAAAAAATTAGTCAGCTTACCTTAGTCGTAATGACAAACTGGTTGGTTCCATTCGAAGGTTCTGTCTAGTTTTTAGCCAACTGATCGAACCTAAAAAAAGCAAATTAATTACCAAAATAAGAAATAAAAAAAATCAAAAAAGATTAGTCAATTCACCTTAGCCGCGATAATGAACCAATTGGTTCCATTTGAAGGTTCCATTCGATTCTTAGCCAACCAATCAAACCTAAATAAACATCAAAATATTAAAAAAAATAAAAGAAAGAAATAAAATATCGATGACTTACCTTTACCGTGGTGACAGACTAGTCAGTTCTGTTTCGAAGATTCTGTCCATTCTAGATTTCAATTATTTTTTTTCTTTTATTAAATAATAAAGTTTATAATTGCTCATCTACTACGTTATTCATAAATTCTACTCCTTTCGGCTAATTGAGCTTGAATAGCCACTGCTTGGTCTTTTTGTCTCAATTTTTGCACTTTAATTTCTTTAACCAAAGGTTTTAATTGCTTAACTAGCAGTAAAATATTATCTAGATCAACACTAAATTCGTTAATTTTATTAAAGTCAAAGCAATCATCTCAATTTTTATAAAACTCAAATGCTTCTAATATTAAATGAGGTTCCAGATTACTTTTTTAATGGCTAATTCTCTGTTCTTAAACTGTGAATCACTTTTACTTACTTCAATATAATTTTCTCAACTTTTAGAGCCTCACCACCTTCCTTACTGGCCAATTCTTGCTGCTCTTGCTCATAATTAACATTAACCTTTAGCTAAATTTGTTTAATAAATTTTTTAATTTGATTAATAGTTTTTACTTTTTCTAAGTTTAATATATTATTTTTTATTGTGACCAATACGTATTCAGTAGTTAAGTCTCCTTTTAATTTAATATGACCAAGTTGTTAGTATACTTATAAAGCATAGGAGATTATTAATAAATAAATTCAGTTTCGCTTAGCTCTTTATAAATTCTTTTTAAATTACTTAAAGTTGCGTGGGTTTTTTCACTACTTAAAAGTATATTAGTCGCATAAATTTCAGTTGTAAGTATATATCCAGCCAGTTTTGGGATTAATTTTTTTTGTCAGTTGGTTAATTAGTTTTACCAAGTAGCAGTTTTCAAATTTACCAATATTTTTAAGATGATTTTAACTTCTTGGATATTTAACACTTTTGCTTTATAGTCAATTTGTTCTGCCGCTTTTTCTCCTGCTTTACTCACAAAAGTAAATAGTTTGTTGATTATTTTAGTGATTAATTCAGAGTTTTTTTCATCACTGTTAGATTTTGCTACTTAGCGATAAGCTTTAATTAGGACTTTAATTTCATCTTCCAAGCCAATTAGTTAGAATTTTTTGCCAATTGTTTTATATTTAAGTAATTCTATTAGATGAGTAGCCTTTATAAAGAAGGGTTTCGCTCTTCAATTTGCTGCTTAATTTTTTCTGTAACTGCTTTTTCTATGACTTAAATTTCTTCAACAATTTTTTTAGCTTAGTCAGCTTTATAATATTCTTCAGTTAGAATGTCAATAGTTTGAATTAACTCCTTTCAGATCATAGGTTAAATGAAAACAAATCGGGATATTACAAATTATTAATATATCAGAATTTTGATATGAGACTGATTGACAATCTTAAAAATCATATATGTATAATTATCTGATTGATCAATTATATTTTATTTATTTCTAATTGAGTTTGTTAAAGATGCATCATAAAAAAATATGAACATATTCAATAACTCAATATATATTTAATATTTACATGATAATAGTGTTATATTATCAAAAAATATAAAATGTTCTGATATCTCATTGATTTGATAATTAACTGAGATTATTATTCAATCGGTGTTATTATAGACAAAAAAAACTATTTATTATTGAAGTTTTGATTTTTTATATGTGAATTTTTCTATTAATAGGAATAACTGTCATATATTTCTTTAGATATCTTTTATTCCTAATTATCATTGTTCTAGCAATAAATCGTCCTAAAATATTATGAATTGGTATAATACAATCACACTTCAATTCAAAAAATTCTTTTCTTCATAATTTGATATTATAAACATCTTTATCTATTTGACAATAAAATCACGTTTTACTATTTTCTGCTGGTTTGTACTATCTTATAAATGCTAATGAATGTGCTTTTTCTCCATTTGAAAGTCGTATTATATGCTCAAAATAAAATTGTATTTGACCCGGATAGGTATCAGTTGTATTATCATCTAAAATAAATTTAGATATTATATTCGCTGATCTGGTGTACCTTTTTGAATATGTTGAACTGAAAATTTTAGCTCTAAGTCTAAGTCTACCAAATTGTTTAACTTTTGGTAAAACTATTATTGAATTTATTATTGAAATACCATAAGCAATTTCATAATATTAGATTAATAAACTTGATATTTCTTGTGGCAAATTAATATCTTTCTTTATTGGTTTAAGGAATGTTTTCAGAAAAGGTTCTGATCCTATTCCTGCTATTTCTCTTACGTCTTTTAACATCATTAAAAATTCTGAATATTCCTTTAGGTCAAAATCTTTATGTGTCGCAAGACTACTAACCATTTTCTTAGTAACAATATAAGATAAACATGTTGAAAGATGCTGATTTTCATGTAACATCTCATCCAAATGAAAATAATTTTGAACAATTTTAAGTAATTCTGATTCAATATTTCAATTACTATTATAAAAAAAACCTATAAAAAAATCAGTTAAATATCAGAATAAATTTTAAATTATTATTATCTAATAAGCCATTCATCCGTTCAAATGAATAGCACCAAAATGAATAAAGAGGGCTATAGTTAAATGCACATTCACAAATATACAAACATAGGTGCATATTTGGAGAGATTTTTTCTGGCTCATAAATTTTTTCAACAAGTTTTACCATTGATAAAAGATATCCATATGCCTTATTTAATGCTGACTTGAAAATAATTCTACATACAAGAATATTACATGCTTGTACGAAATAACCTAATATTTCTCTGTCTGCTTTTTGAAGTAAATCCCAAGTAATTATTGTAGCATATACGAGGATGAAGGTTTTCTATTCATCTACCGTAAAACTTGAAAATCCTTTACATATAGCGATTTTATTTGGGATTCTTCTGATGTCCGATAGTAATTTTAATTTATTAACCCATTCTTGCATTATTTCTAAATCTTTCGATGTTAATCTACTATTTTCAATTCACAAATAGGTTACAATCTATTTGGCTATTTCCAAAAACAAACAATGTATAGGATCGACTATAAAAAATTGCACTGGATCAAAATATGGAAGGTGATATACTTCTGACTAACATACTAAAGTCTCAGAAACATGTTTTTTTCATGCATCGGTCCTGCATTCTTTCCATAAAAAAGCATTCTTTCGTATTTTTTTAATGTCTTTCAGTACGAACTATTCTCTCATATTATCAAATCCATCAAAATTCAGCTGATTTCTAGTATCGAATTCTGCTATTTTTTTACATTTATGACATTTGACATGATATAAAATATGCCTACAAAGTTTTCTAGCCACTGGAAGATTACATGCGCAGCATATAATTGCAGCTCATATAGATTTGGCAGTAGTTTCATATGTAGGTATAATAATTCCCTCCTATAAATCAATAAATTGATCAATAAAGGAGCCAAATAATGATTCAAATAATGTAGTTTTGGCTCATTAGAACTGGGAATTAATGCTAAAGTAATTATATTAGAAGTCTTAAATCTTTCACTCTGAAGAAGATTACGTATTACTTTATAAATTGCTCCTACACTATACTGGGAATTATCATATGGTTGAAACCAATCAAGGTTCAACATAATTCTCAAATGTCTATTTGACACTTCATGATAAAAAAATAGCTGAAGATCATTTGGCTCTTTAAAAGTTTTTTAAACCCTCCCATCATATATATCAGATAATTCTTGATGATTGTTTGGTCAAATAGTCCATTTCCTATATGACTCTTCAAATCCTTCCGTATTATACAATCGTTGTAATTGATTCTTAATGTTAATAATAGGAAAAATAGTTGATAATTGATATATTATTCCTTTATCAATAGATACTTGCGTAATAATAGCATTATAAGGAGATCTTAATTTCACCATTGGATGATTTAGAAAGTCTTAAAATGTACAATAGGATGGTTTGTCAGTTGGCAAATTTTTTATTAAATATAATTTACAACAAATTTTACAACTTGCATATTTAGTCATATAATCATCTATACTAAATAATTTTCATGCCATATATAAGGATGTCAGGAAACTTGAATATGCTTTTTTATCAATCAAAAGTAATAAATATCTCATAAATTTTACAAGAGAATCGATAGCTGTGTCAGATAATTTATATCTTTTTTGATATTTTAAAATCTAATATACAATCCACGTAACTCCTTGATCAAGATTTGTAAATAATATTTCACCACCTTTATCTTCATAATCAGGTGCATCAAAGTTGACAGCAGGTTGAGAATCATCATCAACATTATCATTTCTTCATTTTCATTATCTTCGTAACCATCATCATCTCAATTAGAAAGAAGCTGCTCAATTTGCTCGATTAAAATTAATGAATAACTGATATTACTACTATGTCTTTATTTTTGTTTTTATTTGTACTTTACTGGTTTCACAGGAAGAAAATCAGGTTCATTATTAGAATCATCATTATCGCTATGAATATCAATATTTGTTTTATTTATTTCATCTGTATCCATAGAATCATACATATATATTGGTCCTTGACTTGTGTCTTCTCTGATTTCTATATCAGAAAATTTAATAAGATCGCTCATTTTAAAATCTTTCTTTTTCATATGTAATTCGTATGTACATGGATCAACTTTTTTTTTATCCTAACATATATTATAATTGCATATCACATTTAATCTTGTGTTTAGTTTAAAGGTTTCTTTAGATTTTTTTGTCAAAATTTTAAACTTTTCTTTAGATGTTTTTTTTACAAAATTTCTTTTGCGACCCATGATAATAAAATTTTTAATAAAAATTTCGATTGAAATAACAATAAAAAATCAACATTGAATTTATATAAAAGTATACAATTGTTAAAAATAATTATCATTAATGCATATCATTGTATGTCAGTTGATCAATCATTAATCATATAGTTAAAGAAAATAGTATAATAAAGTATAAATAAACTTTTTTTTTTCTTTTTCTTCTTCTTTTGCAATGTCTTTTATTCGTAATATTTTTTTCGATATTTTTTTATGATATTTTATTTAATAATATGCACAGTAGAACACCTTTAAGATATCATCCAATTCTAAAAAAATACGTCCAATATATAGTAATCAAAATCAAACTGATAATAAAAGTTAAAGTCCTAGGAGAAGTATAAGTAAACAGGAAAGAAGTGTATAAATCATTAATTAAAACTTTCATTTTAATAATATTCTTTGTCTTAATCATAATAACCTTAAACATCCTTTTTCTCATAACCATTTATTTATTAAAAAAGAGTTCTAATAGTAGAATAAGTAGAAGTGTAAGTAGATGGGAAAAAAGTGTAGGTACATATAAAAATGTAAGAAGAAATGAACGTGATCGAGAAGACAGCATTCAAAGTGTACATTCAACATTTCAGTTAAGAAATGAGCATGATCGTGATGATCAAGAAGATAATGTACTTTGATCAAGAAATGAACATGATCGTGATGATCAAGAAAACAGCGTTCAAAGTATACATCTAATACTTTGGTCAAGAAATGAGTATGATTGTGATGATTGAGAAGACAGTGTACTTCAGTTAAGAAATGAATGTGATCGTAATGATCGAGAAAATAGCGTTCAAAGTGTATAATCAACATTTACACCTCGATCAAAAAGTGTTCAAAGTGTTTAAAGGGAAAGCACATCCTGTCTAAAAGAAGTAAGCATGTTCTGAAGTTTATCACGACAAGATTCAGAAGGAAATGGTAATTATTAATCAAGTATTTATAATAAAGGATTACTAATTATTTTAATTTATTCTGTAATAACAATTAAATCGATCTAATTGACCCTTAACTATTTGATTACTGAAGTCTAAAATATAAATTCTGAAGTTCAAAGTATGAAGAAACAACAACTTTCACGTAATTTGAATCGAGATAAATCAGTTACACCAGAATCAACTATTGGATATCAACAAAGTTCACGCACTATAATCAAAGATATGACTGACTAACAATACAAGGCCTTCAGGATATAATATATATTCTTTAGATTGAAATAAGAGGATATAACTAATTATCTTTATAAATTTAGAATGAAGTCGTACAAATATTATTGGGTCTTGATAAGTTATTATCTATTGACAATATCTAAAAATGGGTTGACATTTTAAGACACGTTAGCAGAGATATAATGTCAGCTATTAATAGAATATTATCTAAGAGAGTGGACCAATATAAACTGACTGAGCTTAAACATGTATTGCAACAATTTAATCAACACAGAAGAGAATCTTGGCAGATTTCGCAAAATACGTAATTGGCGAAAATGGATAAAAAAAGAAAAGGGAAAAATTCAAGACTTTCTGAAATAAGTATCTTATTTAAATATATATCAGATTATTAATACTATTTATTTATTATTTATTATTCTTAATTTATTTATTTTAAGAAGAAAGAAAGGCGAAAGCGTGGCATTTAGCATATGTATGATATGTCTAATGAAATTCTATTTGGCTTACAACTTGAGTCAGTAGACAATGATCATTATAAGAAGAATATCAAAGAAATAATTGACAATGGACTATATCATTCAGACGAAATATCCGAGACTGATAATAAAAAAGTACAAGAAAAAATAAATCAGTACAAGCAATCAAAGAATAAACCTGATTCTGATAAGCATGTATTTCATATTTACGACAAGCTATGAAGATTTAGAAGAGTATGTAAAATAGCAAAATATATATTTACTCATCTTTATTTTATTTGCAGCTCTTATCATATAAATGTAGGTCAAGAAATTGCTTCATTATGCTGATGAAATTAGAGGTGCTGCGCAACATATAAAGGTTTAAAGAAAAAGATGGTATAACGATGAAGAATATAAAGATAGTTTGAAACTACCTGATAATGCTCCTGAATGGACTATTGCAGGTTCATATTCAGCTCAATAATAATTAATTAGGACATAATTATAACAATTAAATATAGTAATTAAAATTACGATAATATTGTAAAATTTATATAATAAATAAATTAAAGCTTTTTGTATTGCATATGATTCAATATTTTTTATATTGTACATTTTATTTATGAAAAACTGATATTATATTACATATAAAAGCTGGTAAACTGATATCTCACTCATTATTCTGAAATCTCACTTATGATATAATTATTTTTTTTCGATATTTAAAAGTAATTATTATATAATCATATAATAATAACATTAATGTTATTGAGATATCGGAAATAGGATAATTGTATTATTTTTAATAGTCTTATGTATACCTTATTTCTAATTATTTTTGTCAAACTTCTGAGAGAAATCAGAACTGTTGAAAAATGATCTCTTAGTAAAATATTGGAATAAAATCATAGAGATATCAGATGATTATTGGGTGACTAAAAAATTTCTGATTCTTTATTATTCGACCTGTGAATGACTTAGAGATTTTCTGACTTGACCTTTTGCAATTCTTTTACCTTAACAAATGGTTGAATAACCCACAATCAGGAGCATTATTTTATTAAAATTCTTCCTAATCAGTTTTGTCTAAAATAAGTTTCATCTCTTTTTTCAACTTCCTTTTTTCAAAATCAGATGAATAGCTAGACCTATAATTAAGTACTAAGGCTTGTTCTTCACTCATATTATTACCAAAATAGACATTCTGATAACTGTTAGCTGTCCTTTGATATCTTCAATAATGTTTTATGTTTAGTATCTAAGATTTTTGGATTAATCTCTGATTTTCTTTAAGGTTAAATTTTATTGAATTGCTTAACGCATGGCTCATTGAGAATAATTATTAGTAATTCAATCAGCTCATCTTTCGCTACTTCTTGCTAGGTATTGGGCTAAACTGGCCCTATTCACCCCATAATTTCTTCTATTTTAAAGGATTCTGCAAATTTTAGAGCTTGATAACTGAACACTGCAAAGGTTTTTTTAAAAATTTAAGATTATGCACTAAAACTAGCAGAAACTGACAGACCTGTCAAATATGATATATATGCTAAATATGCCATATCTGCCAAATAGAACATATTTATAATTTATATCATTTCTATTATTATTATTATTTATTATATCTTTATTATATTTATCATTATTGTCATTTATATTACATTTAACATTATTAGCATATCTGTTAGCTCTGTTATTATTGTCAGTATCATAAATACCATAAATTTTCTTTAATTGTAATTTTCTTATATAAAGGACATGAAAATGCTCTGAAAAAAGAACAGATCCTAACATTGTATTCAATATAATAACAATAATAAACAGCCTTAACATTTTATAAACATAAAACTTATTATTTTATTCTTGTTAACTAAATAAACTCTCTAATAAACAGCGTGTCAAGTTAATTAGATTTAAGTCATAACTATTATCTCATTGACTTCAAATTATAATTAACTTATTCGATGAAAAGAGTAATGTTAACAAGTGGTAATTCCTGCTAGATTACTATTGACTTTATATATAACAGACTGCTAACAGATTTAGTGAGATATATAAAAGTTTGAGTTAAAAAGAGAAATAGAAAAATAGAATTAATTTTATACATAATGATCCGCTAATAGATTTAGCGAGGTGTATAAAAATTTGAGTTAAAGAGAAATTGAGAAATAAAATTGATTTTAGACTGCTAACAGATTTAGCAAAGTACATGAAATTTGAAGAAATTGAGCAATGAACTACTCTTTCTAAAGAAAAGTAAATTGAGTGACGTATTACTCTACTAAAAAGAATTAAGCAGATGAACTTGCAAGTTAAAGTATAATCTGTAACATTTATTTTGAAATATTTTGAATTATTTAAAACAATTTAATCAAGTTAAAACATAAATTATTAGTTAAAAAATAAATTAAAAATAAATCATGTGATATATGATGCAATATGACATCATTTGATGAAATATCTAAAAAAAGAAACACAAAAGAAATTTTAAAAGAAGCAAATTCTATAATTGAATTAGAATTTAACCCTTGGAAAGATCATGTAAAAGAAGAAGAATTTTCAGATGAATTGAAAGAAAAAAATAATCTAACACAAGCGTCTATTAAAACTTTTTAAGCTACTTTAATCAATAATGATGGATCTAAAGCGGATGATGAATCAAAAAATTACTGCAAAATTGTAATCTATATTTATTATAAAGGAATTCTGATACTTTTGAAATGGAAAATAAAAGTAGAGAATTAGTTGATAGGATAATTAAATTAAAAATTGAATTTGAAGCGTTAAGAAGAATATTAGTATTAAATTACTTACAATTGTATTAACTAGCAGCAAATGGTTTTGAATATCCAAAAAGTACAGAAACACATTCTAATGAATATAAAGTACCTAAGAGAGTAGAGTATCAATGGAAAAATAAAAGAAAAAAGAATTATAAGTCCAATTCATGTCATATGATTATACTGTGTTACTGATTTTCAAATATTCTTATAATAATAAAGATCAAAACAAAATCTCAGATATAATTTACTCGTGATCTACTGATTAGAATTATATAAAATTAATATCAACGTGTTCACCGAGTTGAGAGCTTCACAATGGTATATATTATATCCTAAACGGATCACTGGATGCTGAGATATTTGAA